CAGTCTCAACAATAGTCTCGACGAGATCTTTCTCCAAAATGATATCTCCAGCCGTCTTGCCCTGCTCAGCATCATTAACCCCAGCTGTCTTGCCCTGCTCAGTACTAGAAACCTCAGCGCCAATGGACGACTGAGGTTCAGTTGGGTCCACCCCGTTGGAGTAGCCGGTACCTGACACGAACTTGTCTGCAACATTCTCTAGAGGAACACTAGCATCATCATTCTACCGCAAGAATAGAAAGTCATTACAAAGGGCCACATAGTGATAAAATGCACAAACAAGTAAAATAAAAAAACGAGACAAATGGACAAGAAAAATGGTACCTTATTTTCACTGCCATGAACCTCATCAACTAATACATCACTAGCGGGAGCAGGTTCATGCACATGGGCAGCTTCATGCACAGGTAAAACATCCTCCTCAACCCTAGCACCATCATCAACAACCTACAAAAAATCATGTAGAAAACAAATACCTAATCAGCAGAAGTTCACATTACATAATCAGAGAAGGTCAGCTATGACAACTGACACATAATGGAAGTCCAAGTATAGCAAACATAGCAGGTCAGATATCAAACTACTCTAAATACAAAAGGGAACAAAAAGGGCCAGTCATCTAAGTCATAGAAGTTCAGGTGCTGTAGCCCATGAAGTTCAGGGGCTGTAGCCCATGAAGTTCAAGTGCTGTAGCCCATGAAGTTCAGGTGCTATAAACAGAGAAGGTCAACTAGGAAACACTAGTACTAAAAACTAAAAGTTTACAACACATGAAATCAATAAGGGTCACCTATGACTAAAAACGGTAATAACTGAAAGCTAACAATGAATAGACAGTCCGCGACCTCGAACGATATCCTACTGTGTTAATAACTTGGATGACTGGCTAATTTGTTTATGTATCAAAATGAGCATTTAGATGCAGGTATGGGTGTCTGGATTACAATCACATCCCAGACAACACTACCGACCGGAATAATTCACGGGGGAAGCCACGGTTGCGAAGATAGCCCGAAGTTCGGGTTCGTATAGAGGGAAGTCCAGGCGCGTTACTTGGGAAGTTCAAGTTGTGATCAGAATATTATTCTGATCTCGTGATTAGAATAGTGTTTATGTATATATTATATATATTATATTTTATATATAACACAGTCGGTCTATTCTGCTAATATTAGCAGAATAATTTTTCTGACAACACTTCCGCACTGCACGCTCAACAGAAGCGAACTACATCGTCTTTACGTTGGGAACTACAATGCTTCACGAGAGAACTGCTTCATTTTCTGGTGTTCCGCCTGCGTTTTCTATGTGGAATCGGGTGTTGCGGGATGATTTAGTTTGTCTCTGCATCTCATTTTACCTTTATTCTTTCTAATTTATAGGAAAATCTACTAGAGTGCTTGCAAATCGAGGGATTTCATGGACAAGCTTTCTCTGTTCGTTCGTGTTTGCGTCAGATGCGATATTTTTGTGCTCGGATGTTGTTTTTTAGTAGTAATTCTTTGATTGTGTTTGTTTTAATCGGTCCGTTCACTCTATAATTTGTTAATTTTTAGGAGTTAGTTTTCAGTTCCTGTTAATTTGATTGTGCGGGCGGGTGAGCTTCGTCTGCTCCTCTGTTCTTGTTGATTTTTTGGATTTTGCGCGTCCATGCGTGTTTGAATATTGTAATTACTGTTGCTATAGGTTTGAATTCATTGTATTGCGGGTATAATTATCATTTTTTGAATTGCATTTTTTAAATGAAAGCTGATGTTGTTCGTCCAGTGGTCGTGTTTTCCATGTAATTTTTTGCGGGGGTATTTTTTGATAGTTTAGTGGTTGGACAATTTTTAGGCGAGTTAGGGAAGTGCAAGTGAAATTGACACATCTGTTAGTCTACCACATGTCTGGAGTTCTACTGCTTTAATTTTATTTGTTGTAGTAGTGTCATACATTGTAGTGCACTGCATTTTTGTTAGTAGTGTACTTCGTTGTAGCTGCATTACAGTGGTTATGGAAGCTTATGAGATTTCTCTTTTCTTAAACTAAATTATGTGTTCTAGATGACTACATAATATGCACGTTTGTACTACATTAGCAGTGTGGTTAATGTTCTATTCTGCTATTAGAATGGATGGTCCATTATATGCTTATGGTTAGCTGAATAGTTATTATAAGAATTTTTTTGAACTACATACTATGAGAATTGTTTTTGAACATCATATGTTAACTGCAAAGTTTCGACCATTCGCATTTCCTTGTTACTGTTCAGAGGACTGCTTTTTATTATTTATTAGTACCACACTATGTGTTTGAGAGAACTGCATTACTGCCAACAACAACTTGTCTAAAAGGATGATAAAATGATGCAGTTGAGGTTGCATACTTTAAATAAGCATCGTTCAAAGTGTTTGATGGACATAATTTTAAAAGCATACAACATAAGCAAAGCATTAGAAATATTGGTTTCTTCATATTAGATAGCCTAGAGTGCAAATATTGTAAACTTGAGGGAGTCTTCTTCTTTGTAGAAAAACACCATGGCCACTTCTCCGACCTCAAAGCCATTCTGGGAGACAAAATCTTTCCAACCAGTAGTTATGTTGATGCAGTCTTCAGAGTCGATGTGGTAGTCAGCTTGCATGTCTGCATACCCATTCTTGTGTTGTGTCTCCAAAGTAATCTTTCCTGAACTCGGAGCAGGAAATTTTATTGTGGATGGCAGTTTCTGCATATTGGAATGGGTGGAAAAAGAATTTTATAAGTAAACAACAAATGTTTTTCTTTATACTTAGGATGATCTATTTATGTTGACTTAAATACTTACATATATATATGACTGCTATTTTCTAAAGTAGTAGCAATGCATGAACAAACTTATATACGGAATTGACCTCGAGTTTTACTAGGATATATATTATACTGCAACATGCTTGTACTGCAAGGTTAGTTACAGTGTACTTCACCAGCATGTTAAGAGAACTGCAACGCTGATCTACTGACCCTTTTTCTGTTCATGTGTTGGGGTTCTGATCTAACTAGTGTCGATACCTAGTGCAGTACTGAAGAAAAATAGGTGGAAGCATCTAGTCTTAATAGCTAACCAATCTGAACAACAATACAAATTCTCTTTTGTTTTTTGTTAACACTACTGAACAAATTGATTGAACTATATATTCAGATGTGGATTTGCATGATAGATTATGTCCAAAATTGTGAGGGAAAAAACATACCCAACTTTCCTGCAGATCTGCGGTTGTGAGGCGATGAAGAAATGGCGCCTGAAACCCGCTGTTGGGTATCATCAGGCACTCGAGCATGCTGCGCCACACGGTGTTGGTGAGCTCTAGACCTTCTGTGTACACGCATGTGTCTGCTACCAGTGCCATCCTTGCCAAACACCTGCAGTTACAGTCCATGGCGGGTTCAGTGGAATTCCAGAGAAGAGCTGAGGATGGGATGAACCCTAGATCTACGTTTTGAAGAAAAAGAGGAACGGGGGGGAGGAGTTGGGTTAGTCTGGAGCATGAATGGATACGTTTTTATGCAACAATTGAGCAACGGAAGTAATAAATGTTGTGGTTGGTGTTAGGTGGTGGATTGGTTCTGTTTCAGTGTACACGAATGCATTTGAGAAGCAACATGACTGCTTACTTGAAAATAAAGAACTGCATTGTCATATCACGACAAACTGCGGAATGTGTGGTTGGGCCTGTGTATGTGTATGGTATGTGAGATTTTTTTTAATTTTATGTGGCCTCTCTTTTTTTGTTGGGCCTGTGTTCGGGTAGTGAAGACGCATTGGGCCCAAGTCGGCCTGTGAGCACGGCTGGTTCCCGGTGCGTTGTGTGCGGCCTAATGTTTAGTCCCACCTCGCCCGCAGAAGGCGCGCCCGACCTGTTTATAAGCGCTGGTGAGGCAGCCGTGTCGAACTCCTCCGGTTACTTATTTGGGCACTTATACACGGCGCTCGCTGCTCTATGCTCTCTGACCTGTGTGCCCATGTGTGCCCGGCCCCATGCATCGTGGCTCAGAACGACTCGCCTGCTATGGGCGTAGGTCTACTACAAGACTGGCTGGGGCCGGTTGCACCTGGGTGGTCAATTTTTTTAATATTTTCTGTCATGTATTTTTTTTCAATGCCGGGGCGTGCACTGCTTTAGTAAATCAGCCATGCACTGCATTGATCAGGGTTCTGTACTGCATGTGCACGCATTCCGTACTACATGTACAGTTCTCATTTTTGTTTTCATGTTTTTGCTCTTATGTAATCTTTTTTCCAATGTAGGGGAGTGCACTGCTTAGTAAATCATATGTGTACTACATTGATTATGTTTCTGTACTGCACGTTCATATATTTCGGCACTACATATACAGGTTGCATTTTTCTTTTTGTGTTTTTGCTCTTATGTATTCTTTTTCAAATTTAGGGGCGTGCACTACTTTGTTGAGTATGTGTAAACTTTATTCGACAGAGTCTGTACCGCATTCGTACACAATTTGCACCGCATGCGTCCTATTTGCACACTGCATCTTATTTCGTTTTGTGCACTGCTTGAATCTAATGATACATAAGCAAACAACAGAAAACAAATTATCACAAGCATTCTGTACAACAAGTTCATCATCAACAAACTAAGTTGAACAGAAAGCAATCTAACATAATCAAAGTTCATCATTACAAGCGATTCTGCATGGCAAGCAAACTAAGTTCAGCAAAAGCAAATGATCACAAACAAATTAACAATACATAAGCAAACAACATAAAGCAAATTTGATGATAAATCTAAAATGACGCTGGCATTGTTGGCTCTTGGCCGCCACCATCTTCTTCTTCACCAGTTAGCGTCTCCCCATCCCCAGCTGCTCCTGGCGTGCTTCTTGGGGGGCTCCTCCTTCTCCAGCTTTGCACGACGAAGCCCGTCCTGAGTGAGGGTGATGCGGTTCCATATCTCGTACGCTGCATAGGCGTCCTTTGCCGCGTACTCGATGTGCCTCATGGACAGAGGCAGGGTGGCTCAGCGCTTGTGTTCGTCGTCGGTGATCTTCTTCTTCTTCATGTTGTTGTAGTAGTCGTCGATGAGCATGCCAGAGACGTCTCCAAGGGAGTCCAACTCCTTGGTTGGCTCGGGCACCCTCCACTCCTTTTGGATGTCGACGAAGTTGGCGACCTCTAGATTGACGCGCTCTAGCCTGGTTTTGTCGCTGTCGATGGAGAAGCCTGCAAAGGTGTACCTGGGGTCGGCGAGGAAGTTGTCGAAGACGGTGCACCTTTCAGCGGCGCTCAGTTGGAAGAGCAGCACCGGGTGATTCTTGTCGATGGAGAGTTGGCAGAGGGCGGGTTTTTGCGTCACTTCATGCTCGTTGTTGTACTCGAGATCAATGCCGATGATCTTGTGGCGCTGGAGGCTGAGGTGGCGCTCGTACTGCGCGAGGGAGATCGCCATCTGCTTCTTGTCGTTGGTGTGGATAACGTGCAACTTGGTGTTGCCGTGGGCCTCCATGCCCTTGTACTCATCGATGAATGCCATCGCCGGTAGTAGGGCTTGGTGTTTTTGCATGGATATCGATGTGATGGAGCCATTTGGTGGCAGCGCAATGGATACTTGTGTTGTTGTGGATGAGAAGGCCTTTGGTAGGGGTTTGAATTTAAGTGGAGGGCGCGGGGTGGGATGGCCGCATCAGATGAACTGCACGATCTCGCTGACGATGCGGTTGTGCAGATCGTGGGTTGGTGTTGCGTCTGTGATCGTGGGCTTGTGGCGATGGAACTAGTCCGATTGGGTGGTTGTATGCGAACATGGTTTTATTTTATTTTTGATCCATAAATTTTTTAGCCACCACTTTCTGTGCGAACGGGCATTTTTTCACGTTTATATGTATCCTACGTGATAATGAAACTACATTGGTTACAATTCTGTACTGCATCATCTACAATACAGAACTGAATTTTGTCTACAGGTGCGTACTTCACCGTTTTTTGCGTGTCCTTGTTGCAGCCCCTGAAAAAAGTACAATATATTCCACAATTTTACGAGTTTTTTGCTGTGTTCTATACCATGTATTTATTCATGTAGGTAATCCGGAACTGGATTGCTATACCATACTGCATTGTGTAACGAAATGCACTACATTTTTCTAGTGTTGCGTACTGCATCTGTTTTTTGCCTGTACTTACTTCAGTCACTGGTACGGGAGGGGTAGGGGGGTTGCCCCCCCCCCACTTTTTTTGGTGTGGCACTTATTTGAAGGTAGTGAAGATGCATTGGGCCCAAGTCGGCCTGTGAGCACGGCTGGTGCCCGGTGCGTTGTGTGCGGCCTAATGTTTAGTCCCACCTCGCCCGCGAAAGGCGCGCCCGACCTGTTTATAAGCGCTGGCGAGGCAACCGTGTCAAACTCCTCTGGTTACTTATTTGGGCTCTTATACACGACGCTCACTGCTTTATGCTCTCCGACCTGTGGGCTCATGTGTGCCCTGCCCCATGCATCGTGGCTCAGAACGACTCGCCTGCTGTGGGCGTAGGTCTACTACGAGACTGGCTGGGGGCGGTTGCACCTGGGTGGTCAATTTTTTTTTAATATTTTCTGTCATGTATTTTTTTCAATGTCGGGGCGTGCACTGCTTTAGTAAATCATCCGTGCACTGCATTGATCAGGGTTCTACACTGCATGTGCACGCATTCCGTACTACATGTATAGTTCTCATTTTTGTTTTCGTGTTTTCGCTCTTATGTAATCTTTTTTTCCAATGTAGGGGAGTGCACTGCTTAGTAAATCATATGTGTACTGCATTGATTATGTTTCTGTATTGCACGTTCATATATTTCCGCACTACATATACAGGTCACATTTTTCTTTTTGTGTTTTTGCTCTTATGTATTCTTTTTTCAAATTTAGGGGAGTGCACTCCTTTGTTGGGTATGTGTAAACTTTATTCGACAGAGTCTGTACTGCATTCGTACACAATTTGCACTGCATGCGTCCTATTTGCACACTGTATCTTATTTCGTTTTGTGTACTGCTCGAATGTAATGATACATAAGCAAACAACAGAAAACAAATTATCACAAGCATTCTGTACGACAAGTTCATCATCAACAAACTAAGTTGAACAGAAAGTAATCTAACATAATCAAAGTTCATCATTACAAGCGATTCTGCATGGCAAACAAACTAAGTTCAGCAAAAGCAAATGATCACAAGCAAACTAACGATACATAAGCAAACAAAATAAAGAAAATTTGATGATAATTGTAAAACGACGCTAGCATTATTGGCTCTTGGCCGACACCATCTTCTTCTTCACCAGTAAGCGTCTCCCCATCCCCAGCTGCTCCTGGTGTGCTTCTTGGGGGGCTCCTCCTTCTCCAGCTTTGCACGGCGAAGCCCGTCCTGGGTGAGGGTGATGCGGTTCCATATCTCGTACGCTGCGTAGGCGTCCTTTGCCGCGTACTCGATGTGCCTCATGGACAGAGGCAGGGTGGCCCAATGCTTGTGTTGGTCGTCGGTGATCTTCTTCTTCATGTTGTTGTTGTAGTAGTCGTCGATGAGCATGTCGGAGACGTCTCCAAGGGAATCCAACTCCTTGGTTGCCTTGGGAACCCTCCACTACGTCTGGATGTCGACAAAGTTGGCGACCTCCAGATTGACGCACTCTAGCCTGGTTTTGTTGCCGTTGATGGAGAAGCCTGCAAAGGTGTAACTGGGGTCGACGAGGAAGTTATCGAAGACGGCGCACCTTTCAGCGGCGCTCAGTTGGAAGAGCAGCACCGGGTGATTCTTGCCGATGGAGAGTTGGCAGAGGGCGGGTTTCTGCGTCGCTTCTGGCTCGGTGTTGTACTCGAGATTAATGCCGATGATCTTGCGGCGCTGGAGGCTGAGGTGGTGCTCGTACTGAGCGAGGGAGATCGCTATCTGCTTCTCGTCGTTGGTGTGTATGACGTGCAACTTGGTGTTGCCATGGGCCTCCACGCCCTTGTACTCATCGGTGAACACCATCGCCGGTAGTAGGGCTTGGTGTTTTTGCATGGATATCGATGTGATGGAGCGATTTGGTGGCAGCGCAATTGATAACCCACAAGTATAGGGGATCGCAACAGTTTTCGAGGGTAAAGTATTCAGCCCAAATTTATTGATTCGACACAAGGGGAGCCAAAGAATATTCTCAAGTATTAGAAGCTGAGTTGTCAATTCAACCACACCTGGAAACTTAATATCTGCAGCAAAGTATTTAGTAGAAAAGTAATATGATAGTAGTGGTAACGGTAGCAAAAGGTAACAGTAGTAAAAGTAATGTTTTTGGTATTTTGTAGTGATGATAGTAATAACAACAGAAAAGTAAATAAGCAAAGAACAATATATGGAAAGCTCGTAGGCAATGGATCAGTGATGGAGAATTATGCCGGATGCAGTTCATCATGTAACAATCATAACCTAGGGTGACACAGAACTAACTCCAGTTCATCAATGTAATGTAGGCATGTATTCCGAATATAGTCATACATGCTTATGGAAAAGAACTTTCATGACATCTTTTGTCCTACCCTCCCGTGGCAGCAGGGTCCTATTGGAAAATAAGGGATATTAAGGGCTCCTTTTAATAGAGTACCAGAACAAAGCATTAACACATAGTGAATACATGAACTCCCCAAACTACGGTCATCACCGGTAAGTATCCCGATTATTGTCACTTCGGGGTTAACGCATCATAACACATAATAGGTGACTATAGACTTGCAAGATAGGATCAAGAACTCTCATATATTTATGAAAACATAATAGGTTCAGATCTGAAATCATGGCACTCGGGCCCTAGTGACAAGCATTAAGCATAGCAAAGTCATAGCAACATCAATCTCAGAACATAGTGGATACTAGGGATCAAACCTTAACAAAATTAACTCGATTACATGATAGATCCCATCCAACCCATCACCGTCTAGCAAGCCTACGATGGAATTACTCACGCACGACAGTGAGCATCATGAAATTGGTGATGGAGGATGGTTGATGATGACGATGGCGACAGATTCCCCTCTCCGGAGCCCCGAACGGACTCCAGATCAGCCCTCCCGAGAGGTTTTAGGGCTTGGCGGCGGCTTCGTATCGTAAAACGCAATGAATTCTTCTCTCTGATTTTTTTCTCCCCGAAACCAAATATATAGAGTTGGAGTTGAGGTCGGAGGAGCTCCAGGGGGCCCACGAGGTAGGGGGGCGCGCCCTAGGGGGGCAGGCGCGCCCCCCACCCTCGTGGACAGGTGGTGGGCCCCTGGCCTTCATCTTTTGCAAGGATTTTTTAATTATTTCCGAAAAGTTGTTCCGTGAAGTTTCAGGTCATTCCGAGAACTTTCGTTTCTGCACATAAATAACACCATGGTAATTCTGCTAAAAACAGCGTCAGTCCGGGTTAGTTCCATTCAAATCATGCAAGTTAGAGTCCAAAACAAGGGCAAAAGTGTTTAGAAAAGTAGATACGACGGAGACATATCAACTCCCCCAAGCTTAAACCCTTGCTTGTCCTCAAGCAATTCAGTTGATAAACTGGAAGTGATAAAGAAAAACTTTTACAAACTCTGTTTGCTCTTGTTGTTGTAAATATGTAAAGCCAGCATTCAAGTTTTTAGCAAAGATTATAACTAACCACATTCACAATAACGCTTAGGTCTCAAGTTTACTCATATCAATGGCATAATCAACTAGCGAGCAATAATAATAAATCTCGGATGACAACACTTTCTCAAAACAATCATAATATGATATAACAAGATGGTATCTCGCTAGCCCTTTCTGAGACCGCAAAAACATAAATGCAGAGCACCTTTAAAGATCAAGGACCGACTAGACATTGTAATTCATGGTAAAAGAGATCCAGTCAAGTCATACTCAATGTAAACTAACAGTAATGAATGCAAATGACAGCGGTGCTCTCCAACTGGTGCTTTTTAATAAGAGGATGATGACTCAGCATAAAAGTAAATAGATAGGCCCTTCGCAGAGGGAAGAAGGGATTTGTAGAGGTGCGAGAGCTTGGTTTTGAAATAGAGGTGAATAATATTTTGAGCGGTATACTTTCATTGTCAACATAACAACCAAGAGATGGCGATATCTTCCATGCTACACACATTATAGGCGGTTCCCAAACAGAATGGTAAAGTTTATACTCCCCCTTCCACCAACAAGCATCAATCCAGGGCTTGCTCGAAACAACGAGTGCCTCCAACTAACAAGAGTCCAAGGGGGAGTTTTGTTTGCAATTATTTTGATTTAGTTTGCATAAAGCATGGGACTGGGCATCCCGGTGACCAGCCATTTTCTCGTGAGTGAGGAGCGGAGTCCACTCCTCTTGAGAATAACCCGCCTAACATGGAAGATACAAACAACCCTACTTGATACATGAGCTATTCAAGCATACAAAACAGGATATTTATTTGAAGGTTTAGAGTTTGGCACATACAAATTTACTTGGAACAACAGGTAGATACCGTATATAGGTAGGTATGATGGACTCATATGGAATAACTTTGGGGTTTAT